TCTATGGCAGGTATTCATATTGTCATAGAGATGTACAGCAGGAAAATGGACCCTTCAGTTCGATTCATCAGTGCCGACCAGGTATCCTCAATTAATCTAGTCCCATTTGCCAGTGGTTAGCCTATATCTCTCTAAACCCTTCCTATTCATGTACCCATCCAGGTGCCTTTTAAATGTTGTAATTGTACCTGCCTCCACCACTTCCTCTGGCAGTTCATTCCATACACACACCACCCTCTGTGTGAAAAAGTCACCCCTTAGGTCCCTTTTATATCTTTCCCCTCTCACCTTAAACTTCTGCCTTCTAGTTTTAGACTCTACTACCCTAAGGAAAAGACCTTGACTATTCATCCCATCCATGATTTTATAAACTTTTATAAAGTCATTTCTCAGCCTCTAATGCTCCAGAGAAAATAGCCCCAGCCTATTCAGCCTTTCCCTATAGCTCAAACCCTCCAACCCTGGCAACATCCTTGTAAATCTATTTCTGAATGCTTTCAAGTTTCACAACAACTTTCCTATAGCAGGGAGACAAGAATTGAACACAGTATTCCAAAAGTGGCCTAACCAATGTTCTGTATAGCTCCAACGTGACCTCTCAACTCCTATACTCAATGCACTGACCAATAAAGGCAAGCATATCAAACACCACCTTCACTACCCTGTCTACCTGCGACTCCACTTTCAAGGCACTATGAACCTGCACTCCAAGGTGTCAGCAACACTCCCGGGTCTTTACCATTAAGTTATAAGTCCTGCCCTGATTTCTCCTACCAAAGTATAGCACCTCACATTTATCTAAATTAAACTCCATGAACCACTCCTCAGCCTATCTGATCAAGATCTCATGTACTCTGAGGTAACATCCTTCGCTGTCCTGTACAGCACCAATTTTGGTAGTCTGTCTGGCCCAGTCATTTATCTGCCTTCAAACTTTTCAGCTTCCCCATTACCTACTTCTTAGTGATGGATACTAAATTGACCCCCTGCCCCCGACTTTCTTGAAGCTCTGGTGCGTTGCTGGTTTCTTCCACTATGAAAACTGATACAAAGTACCTGTTCAGTTCCTGTGCCATTTCTTTGTTCCCCATTACTATTTCTCCAGCCTCATTTTCCAGGGGTCCAATGTCCAGCCTTGCCTCTGTCTTACCCTTTAGATATCTAAACAAACTCTTTCAATCTTCTTTTATATTACTAGCTAGCTTCCTGTCCGATTTCATCTTCTCCCTCCTTATTGCTTTTTTTAAGGTTTTTGAAGGCTTAGCAATCCTCTGGCTTCCCACTAGTCTTTTTTGCTTTTATGCCGTCCCAACTTCCTTTGTCAGCCGTGGTTACCTCACCGTCCCCTTAATGTGTTTCTTCTTCCTTGTGAAGAATTGCTGTGCCCTCTGAATTACTTACAGAAATCCTGTAATTGCTGCTCCACCGTGTTCCCTACTGGGCTCCCTTTCCAATTAACTCTGGCCACTCCTCCCTCACGTCTTCGTAGGCTCAATTGTAATATAGTTACATCTGATCCAATCTTCTCCCTCTCAAATTGAAGGGTGAATTCCATCATATTATGGTCCCTGCACCCCCAGGGGTTCCTTCACCTTCAGCTTCCTAATCAAGTCTGCCTCATTACACTTTACCCAATCCAGAATTGCCTGTTCCCTATTGGACTGTACCATAAACTGCTCCAAAAAACCATCTTGTAGACAATCCAAGAATTTCTTTTTTTGAGATTCGTTACCAATCTAATTTTGCCAGTCCACTTACATATTGAAGGTCCCCACGATTATCGTAATACTGCCTTTTGTACATACCTTTTCTATCTTCTGATTTATTTTCTTCCCCACATCCTGATTCCTGCTAGGGGGCCTGTACACAACTCCCATCAAGATTTTTTTTATCTTTTGTGGTTCCTCAACTTTATCGACACAGATTCTACACCTTCTAACTCTGTATCACTTCTCGCTATAGAATTAATTTCATTTCTTACTAAAAAGACAGCCTCGCCTCACTGCCCATCTGCCTGTCCTTTTAGTAGGACATGTATCCTTCGATATCCTGATCCCCTCACAGCCATGTCTCTGCACTACCCACAACCTAGTACCTGCCAATTTCAGTCTGCACTACAAGCATTTAAATACAATGACCTGAGTCCTGCATTGCCTGCACTCCCCCCACCCCCCACCTTCTTATAGTTGTCTCCTTATCTGTTATGCCTGTAGTTAGACTCCTGACCCTTTCCATACGCTCTATCCTATTACTTGTTCTGGAAACTTTAATCTCAGATGAGCCCTCTTCGCCCTTTTATCTTTAACTATAATTTTCCATACAACAGAACCCACCCCCCCCAACTATTGATTTTTAAAGCCCTACTTACAGCCCTAGTTTTATGATGCGCAAAGACTCTGATCCCAGCATGATTCAAGTGGAGCCTTCTCAATCAGGAACAGTTCCCTCCTTCCGCAATATTGATGCCACTATCCCATGAATTCAAACCCGTTTCTCCCACACCAATTTTTGAACCGTGCGTTTACTTCTTTAATCTTGTTGACTGTATGCCAATTTGATCATGGCTATAAGGAGTCTCTTCATCTGTTCCTAAGTACCTGGCTAGGCAAAACCCTGAACTTAGCAGCCTTCTGCTTTGATTGTCCACAACCAGCTCACTAAAAGCTGATTGTTCAGTTACCCTTAAACTGTATATATTGGCCTATTGAAAATCTTGCAACAAGTCCTGTCCTTGTTCCTAGACAGGAACAAATATAGTAACCAACAGTGGATGGCTGTGTTCCCTGCCTGATACAATGTTCAGTGTTGTTGACTAACACAATACAAATGAATGTTTTAATTAATGGATTTGAAGAATGTATTTCAAGAGTGTATTTTAAAGACAGATTAGCTTTCTTTAAAAAAAATCCATAGTATGACATTAAGATACATAACACAAAACAAAATGTCTGTGGATGGATGCAATTCCATAATTACGCAGCACTTGCTGAAGAAACCTAAGTGTGCTAATGCATATATTAACAACGAATTTAAGATAATCAATTGAGTGTATTATGGTGCTCGTTTACATGCTAGAAGCAGGAAACATCCACATCCAAGCATCCATTCTCTGCAAATGAAAGGAATATGTTCAAGCTTTGACCCTTTTATGGATTGCCTGAGTGCTTGGAGAGCTTATAGTTGCTTGTTGCTTTCTCCATGCCAAAGCTTTAGCCAGTCAGGGTTGACTTGCAAACCAACCAGCATCCTTTTCTCCCATAATATAAATTATTGCAATTCTTTTGAAATTTGACATTTTTGGTATTTGTCCCGATGAGTACAAGACAAGAAGCTTTGACAACATGACCTTCTTTGCACCACTACTCACGTTCTGTACTACCAAACAATTATAATTATTGAATGAACACATCCTAAAATGTATAAACTACCATTATATTTGAATATATGTAAAAACTAAAGTCTGATTAAATATTAAACCATCTTTAAGGGTAGATGACATGTAGGGGAGGGGGGAAGTAATTTAATGAATGCAACAGGAGTATTTCCCACTGGTTGATGAACTGATGAACTCTATTCGTTTCTCTCTGGGAGTCCCAACACAATTGAGGTAAGCCTACGGAATTCTCTACAACAGAAAGTGATTGAGGCCAAAACATTGAATGCTTTCAAGAAGGAGTTAGGGCTTCAGGGATCAAAGGGTATGGGGAGAAAATGGGAACAGAGTACTGAGTTTACTGATCAGCCATGAGCGTATTGAATGGTAGAGCAGGCTTGAACAGTTGAATGGCCTACTCCTGCTCCTATTTTCTATGCTTCTTTGAGTGATGGCCACAGCCAGTGCTACACTGAGGATGAGCAATGGAATCAACTAAGTGGGGAAATATGGGTACACCAGAGAGGTGAGAACCTGCCAGGTTGAAATGGTTGGAGAGAATGGGGAGGGGGTTGAGGAGAGTCAATATCAAGAGCAGGAAAGGGCTTCCTGTCGGTCCTGTCTTTCCCAATGCCAGGTTCTTTGATCGCTGGACACAGTAGGATATATTGGGCAAAATCCCTGGATTGCGAGTATGTCACCTGTTGCTGGTTAAATACAAATGACGCAGAATGAGATCTTTAAGTGGCCTTAGTTGGCTTCCGGGTTGGAAGGGTGCCCACAAGCACACACCACCCCACCACCCCCACCCCATCACCATCAGATGTAATCAGAGGGAGGTGATGACATCTCCATCCCACATCCTCGTGCCTGATCAAACAACCCATGCCCACCTCCAAACTCACCTCAGGTTTGGGGCCTTAAATTGTGACCTGAAAGTGCCTATTGGGAATTTGGTTGTTTGCAAACTATAAATAAATCTCTAGTCCTGATGCTATGAGATCATATTGGATGACAATTAATGTATTGAACATTCCTCCATGTACTATTTATGCTCGAAAACATTACTGTATCCTCTAGAATAGCAGAGGGAGAAATTTGATATAAATACGTTAAGCATTTGTCCTGTAGAATTGATGTATAGTATTAGAAATCATAAACCTTGAAGTAATACAACAAGGACAAAGTTTCCTGCCTCCATGTGTCTTTGGGGACATTCCCATTTAAAACATAGGCACTTGAGATTAGGTTCCGAACATTTGAATGCCTGCTGTAACTTTTCAAGGTAGCTTGTCAGATATAACCCTATAAAATTAATAAAATGTTCTGACTGATTTAGAAGTAACTGATAATGAACTTTATGTATTTCTTTGTATTATGTGAGTCTGATTTTGTTAAATCTGGATGTGCCAAGCTCACTTGGACTAGATCAGGTTATTAATGTTGCAGCTAAGAAATTTATCATCACTTTTACCAATATTAAAGATTACTGGAGCAGCCCAGAAAAATGATAAATTAAGTATTTGTTCTAACATCAGGTTTATTAGAGAAATTTTTAGATTTATTAAATTCAAGATTTTAGTCATAGTCCTAACCTAAGGATACCTTTCTGGTTTGTTTCCTCTAGTGCAATACAACGTGTGGCAGAGGAATAAAAAGGAGAGTTGTTCTATGTGTGGGAATAGTAAATGGAAAGGTTAAAATTTCCAATCCTGAGGAATGTGATACCACTCAGAAGTTGATTGAAGAAACGACGTGCTTTGAGCGTCCATGTTTCAAATGGTTTACCACTTCATGGTCTGAGGTAATAAGGGCAATATCTGCTCCATTTTTCCTAAATTTCCTAAATGTGGAATTTTCCCTTTTTCCTGGTGCGACATGAGTAATGGTGAGAATGCAAAAATCAAACTCTCCCCTCGTAGCTTAAATCATGGTTTCAGAATCTTGCCATTGAGCAGCTCCATGGCTGCCATTCTCCTTGACCCTTGAACCACGCAATTCAACATCTGGTCAAGTCGTGTTACCAATATTTGGACCCAGTATCTAAGGAAGGATGTGCTGGCCTTTAAGGGGGTGCAGAGGAGCTCTATAAGAATGAACCCAAGGATGAAAGATACCCAAGGATATAAGGAGTGGTTTAGGACTCTGGATCTGTACTTGATTGAGTTTAGAAGGATGATGGGAGGATCTCATTGAAATTTACACAATACTGTGAGACCTGGATAGTGTGGTCATGGAGAAGATGTTTCCACCAGTAGGAGAGACTAAGACCCGAGGGTACAGCCTCAGAATGAAGCTACGATCCTTTAGAATTGAGATAAGGAGGAATTTCTTCAGCCAGAGGGTGGTGAATCTGTGGAACTCATTGCTGCAGAGGGCAGTGGAGGCTGAGTCATTGAGTGTATTTAAGACAGAAATAAAGGGTTCTTGATAGTGTAAGAGGATCAAGGATTACAGATTAGAATGGAGTTGAGAAACATGTTAGCGGTGAACAAATGGTGGAACAGACTCAGTGAGCCAAATGGCCTGATTCTGCTCCTATTCTTATGGTCTAAGTCACCAGCCTCACAACATGATTATGCCAGCTTTTGGACCAAGTCAGATACCATTTCAGCCCTTTAACACTTTACTTGGATCTGACAGACACCTATGATTTTCATGCTTCTGCCAGGTCACTTTGCATGCATCTCGTGCATTTTCATAGGATACATCTTATGGTTCTTAACTTGCTTTCTTAGTACTCACTACTTGACCTTATTTGGAGGCTGGCAGCCTCTGTGTACTTGACATAACTTTCTTAACTCACATTCACTGACTTCACAGATTTACAGACTGCCAGCCTCTGTAACTTGAATTGCTTTCAAAAAGGAAGATGCAGGCAGCTTGTGACAGTAGGGAGTACTGATCAAACAATGTATCAGACACATATGGAACACACATGTTTCTGTACAGTACTATGCTCCGTCAATGGCAGACCTCCAGCAAGTGCTAGAAGTTTACATGGAAAGCATACTGTATGGACTTCCAACGAATGGCCATATACAAGTGTCAAAGGGGAGCAGTTCTAAGTGAGTGATAGGCTATTACAATCCATTGGGGGTACTGCCACATTCTGTCAGGAGCCTCATTCTGTTCATCCCAGGATTGACCATAGTCAGGCATTTAATTCTACCAGAGTCCAGAGATCCATGCCCTGGATCTCCATCCCATCCAGGGACTTGCTCACAATCAATCCTGCAGGTTAACTGCAAGCAGTCAAGATCAGTTGGAGTCTTGTTGAAATAATAGTGTGTGGTGGGCCAATTTTTACTCCAATGAGAGAAAGGGAAGCATTAAGTATGGTGGAGATGGATGCAAGAGCAGCTAGTGGTGAAGCATGAGCAGAGAGGTGAAGTGACCCAGTGAGTGAGTAGAAAGCTTAGACCGCATTAGAGATTAGTAGTTCAGAAGGATGAGGTGGGTGAGAGCTACTGAATGGACATGAACAATGCAATACCCAGACCCATAAGCCACAACAAAATGTGAGTGCTGTGCCAGAGTTAATACGTGATGGTCAACCTTCCCAGCTGCATGAATTCCCAAGAAAGGCATCAAAGGCTCCAGTTGCATATTTAATGAGATGAAGAGCAGACAATTGTGTGAGAAAAGTTACACTGATCTATGAGAGATAAGCACCATGACTCTCGACCAAAAATATGATAAAATTTCACTCTATATTTATAAATTTATCTACTCAACACTCAGCAACTTTTCTCCTCAAGCTCTCTTGCCACCTCTCCAGTGATTCAACAATCCCACTCCACAAACTCCAGCTTTCATTGAATAGCAGACCCTTTTCCCAAACCCCTGTCCTTCCCACCTACAGGATCTGGCAGAAACCTGGGCTTCATTACGCTGTCCCAAGTCTCAAGCCAGCCAGCAGCATAGTGCACCCTTACACACCTATCCGAAATGCAATTTTGACTGTTCCTTAGCACTACTCATTTGTTTCCATTTGCTTACCAGGATGAGATGTTTCCATCATTTGGCAGAATTCTGAATTTTGGATTGTGAAATTTCTCTGCTTTAATTTTTTTTGCTGAATTCTACCTCCCACTGGCTGCCACCACCTCTAATGCAGCCAGACCCAAAAGGTGAGAGCCTCAGCCTGGAATATCCAGTAATCAAGTCAGAAAAATGGGACCCAGGTCAACACTACTTCACCTTGCATCAGCTCGGACATGGCTGCTGAGACCTATCAAAGGATGTGGTCTGCTGTTGGCTGGCTTGAGGCTTGGGAGAGGAGCGGAGCCCAAGTCTCAGTAGGGGAAGGTTTGGGAAAAGGGTCTGCTGGTGAGTTGAAGGAAGAGTTTGGAAAGTGAGATCATTGAGTCTGTGGAAGGGGTGAGAGAGTTTGGGGACAGAAGCTGCTGAACATTGGTGGGTGCTGGGTAAGAGACTCTGAATGAGTGATTTAGTGCGAAGGTGTTTTGGGAGAGGAGCAACTGATTGAGTGGGTGAACTATTATAAGGGTGAGTTGGAGTTAGAAAGAGGGGTGCATGTGTGGAGAAGGGAGAAAGATTGGTTACAGTGTGTGTGTGTGTGTGTGTGTGTGTGTTTGTGTGGAAAGGTGGGGGGGTTAACAGGGGAGATGAGAGTCTTCATTGCATTTTCTGTCACCAGGGAATATAGAAAGCTTTGCTGAAACCTAAAATAAGAATGAAAAAGCTGGAAAAATATCAGCATTTTTGGGACAGAAACAGCTAATATTTCAGGCCAATGACCTGGTGGTTCAGATTTCCAAATCTGCAGTATTTTGCTTTTGGCTAAAACCTACACGAGTTCATAAAGTAATAACATATTTACAAAATGGAAACAAATTTGTTTCCATACATATATGTCTGATAGGTGAACTCTTAATAATTAAATATGTTATTGTGTTGTTTTATTGCTGTTTTGATATTGCTGGCATCTGGCGTCAGTTACATTTTCAAGAAGTCTTTTAATGTTTTCATTCATGGGTTGATGTTGGCTTGTTGCCTGTCCCTAATTGCCTTTGAGAAGGTGATGGTAGGTTAAAATGGGATCACATGAGAAAATAGTTTGTGAGGCACTGCCATATTACTATGCTTCGCTTTTTGTGTCTTTAGTCAGCAAAGTGACATTGGTTTGGATTTCTTCCTGGATCCCATGCACTAATTGCATTCACTGCTGAAATGCCAAGGTCACTTTGCTAATTTGATAGAAATGTATTGGTCCTCAGTCCAGACAGCAATAGGAGAAAAAGAAAGGAAAAACTAATCTTTTTGATCACTTGAAGTCTAATAATTACATGTATTTGAAGTGACCTACAGCATTTATATTTCACTACAGTGCATTAAAAATTGCTATGATTACGTAAGTCCTTGTCATGCGAATATTTTAGACCTTCCTTCCTTTGGCCACTGTCATCCCTTCACACTTACTTAAGTCTTTCTTTAGATTGGGTTGTTTTTTTTTGTCTTTTATTAACATTGCTATTCCTTCATTTTCCCCAATTCCCCTGTCCTTAATTATCCATACATAATATTTTCAATTAAAATTTTACAGTTTTGTTTTCTATTTTTCTACTGCATTTAATAAACTATCTTTTTCTCACTTTTATACAGTGCACTAAGACCTGTGGAGTTGGAGTAAGAATGAGAGATGTGAAATGTTATCAGGGAAAAGAAATTGTCCGAGGATGTGATCCACTCTTGAAGCCTGTTGCAAAGCAAAGCTGTGAACTCCAGGCCTGTCCCACCCAGCCACCAGGTAATAGTGCATAGCACTTCTGTCATTGTTTTCTTCTCCTGCTTCTAAAGCGATTACACTTAAAATTTTAAGTGCCAGTGGCATGCGTAGGAAACATCTATAGTTCCATTGCAGGGGAAACTTTTCAGTGATGAAAAATGCCCTGACAGTGCTGTAGCTACAGCCGAGTTATAAAAGATTCTTAATTAAATACGGAAGCTCTGTATCATGGACACAATTTTCTTGCCAAACTCCATTGAAGTAAACAAAGGGTTTATTGAGAGTACAAAGAGACACTGGATTTCTATTTTCAAAGTTAAATTTCACTTGTTAACAAGTCACTTTACATTGGTTTCACTTTGTTATGTTATTTGTTGAGATTAACTCGGTCAGGGATCGAAGTATATTGGCATGCCGTCAGTTGGCACATATTGATGGTTACTGGAGAGTTAGGGACATTACCTTTATTTGGTGTTTTTTTTTTTGTTCACTCTTTATTGAATGCTTATATTAGTGTCCAGTATGTACCCATAACTTTTTGGGGTCATGGCTAAACTTGCAGGCTCAGCTGGGCATCTGTTTGTGAAGTTTTTTTTTAATTATTCTTAATGTAGATAATATAAATGCTGAACACAAAATCCTGACAGGACTTTGCCAGCCTACGCCCTAAGATGGACCTGCAGTTGGATAGTACTGACTCCATCCTTTAGGCCATGCTTTTTTTCCTAAAACGTTTATAGGACAGGGGCGACACTAGCTGGCCAGTGTTATGCCTGCACCTAATTACCCTTGAGAAGGTGGTGGTAAGCTGCCACCTTGAACTGCTACAGTCCATGTGCTATAGGTAGACCCACAATGCTGATGGGGAGGCTTTTCAGGATTTGAACCAGTAATAATGAAGGGAAAGTGACATTATTTCCATGTCAGGATGGTGAGTGGCTTAGAGGGGAACTTGCAAGTGATGCTGTTCCCATGTATTTGCTGCTCTTGTCTCCTAGATGAAAGTGATTGTGTATTTGGAAGATGTTGTCTAAGGATCTTTGGTGAGGTTCTGCAGTGCACTTTGCTGCTGTAATACACATTGCTGCTGTACATTGGAGGGAGTGGATGCTTGCAGATTTGGTGCCAATCAAGCAGGCTGCTTTGTCCTGGATCATGTCTTGCTGTACCTATATGCTAAGTTTATCATCTATATGCCAGGATTCTGAGATCCCTCTGTATCTCAGTGTTCTGCAGTTCTTTCCATTTAAATAGTCCAATAAATCTGGATACAGAACTGGCTGTCCAATAGAGGACAGAGGATGGTAGTAGATGGAAAGTATTCAGCCTGGAGTTCGGTGACCAGTGGTGTTCCGCAGGGATCTGTTCTGAAACCTCTGCTCTTTGTAATCTTTATAAATGACTTGGATGAGGAAGTGGAAGGGTGGGTTAGTAAGTTTGCTGATGACAGGAAGGTTGGTGGAGTTGTGGATAGCATGGAGGGCTGTTGTAGGTTGCAGTGGGACATTGACAGGATGCAGAGCTGGGCAAAGAAGTGGCAGATGGAATTCAACCCAGAAAAGTGTGAAGTGATTCATTTTGGAAGGTCGAATTTGCATGCAGAATACAGGGTTAATGGCAAGATCCTTGTCAGTGTGAAGGAACAGAGGGATCTTGGGGTCCACGTCAATAGATCACTCAAAGTTGCTAGCCAAGCTGATAAGGTTTTTAAGAAGGCGTATGGTGTGTTGGCCTTCATTGGCAGGGGAATTGAGTTTAAGAGCCATGAGATTACGCTGCAGCTCTATAAAACTCTGGTTAGACCACTTGGAATATTGTGTTCAGTTCTGGTCACCTCATTATAAGAAGGATGTGGAAGCTTTAGAGAGGGTGCAGAGGAGATTTACCAGGATGCTGCCTGGAATGGAGGGCAGGTCTTATGAGGAAAGGTTGAGGGAGCTAGGGTTTTTTCTCATTGGAACAAAGAAGGACGAGAGGTGACTTGATAGCGTTGTACAAGATGATGAGAGGCATAGATAGAGTGGATAGCCAGAGACTTTTTCCCAGGGCGGAAATGACTATTACAAGGGGGCATAATTTTAAGGTGATTGGAGGAAGGTATAGGGGAGATGTCAGAGGTAGGTTCTTTACACTGACCGTGGTGTGTGCGTGGAATGCGCTGCCAGCGAAGGTAGTGGAGTCAGATACATTAGGAACATTTAAGCGACTCTTGGATAGGCATGTGGATGATAGTAAAATGTAGGGTATGCAGGGTAGTTTGATCTTAGAGTAGGATAATAGGTCAGCACAACATCGTGGGCTGAAGGGCCTGTACTGTACTGTGCTGTACTGTTCAATGTTGTAAATAATGTGCTACTTTTCAATTGTAAATTTTGCATTTTCCCATGTCATACTTCATCTGCCAAATTTGTGCCCACAAACTTAAACTCTTTGTAAACCTTTAGAGACTCTGTGTCCTGTTCAAAACTTACCTTCCTACCTATCTTGGTAAATTTGACAAAACTTGTAAAGTTGATATAAATTAAGACCTCAACAGTGAGTCTATTGCACTTGTCATTCCTGGCCCACCTGAAATCAAGCCATTTATACCCACCTTCTGCCTCCTATTAGCCAATCTATCTTCAACTCATACCAATATGTTACAACTACACCATGAGCTGTTACTTTACATGAAACTTTGAGGCACCTTGGTAGGGGCCTTCTGGAAATCTAGGTTTCTAACATCCACTAGTTTCCCCCTTATCTATGTCACTTGTTACTTCTTCAAAGAACTTTAATAAACTAGTCAATCTTATTTCCCTTTCAAAAAACCTGACTATGCTCAGTGGCATTAAGATTTTCTAATTAACCCATTATAAACACCTTAATAATAAATTCCAGAATTTTCCCTGTGACGATGTTAGGTGGATGTGATATCAAGAAACATTTTAGAGGCATTGGATACAGCAAAGGCTGCGGGCCCTGACAACATTCCGGCAATAGTACTGAAGACTTGTGCTCCAGATTTGGCGCTTCCCTAGCCAAGCTGTTTCAGTATAGTTACAACACTGGCATCTACCCAACAATGTGGAAAATTGCCCAAGTATGTCCTGTACACTAAAAGCAGGACAAATCCAACCCGGCCAATTACTGCCACATCAGTCTACTCCCGATCGTCAGTAAAGAGATGGAAGGTGTCATCAACAGTGTTATCAAGCAGCACCTGCTCAGAAATAACCTGCTCAGTGACGCCCAGTTTGGGTTCCACCAGGGCCACTCAGCTCCTGACCTCATTACGGCCTTGGTTTAAACATAGAACATAGAACATTACAGCGCAGTACAGGCCCTTCGGCCCTCGATGTTGCGCCGACCTGTGAAACCAATCTGAAGCCCATCTAACCTAAACTATTCCATTATCATCCATATGTTTATCCAATGACCGTTTAAATGCCCTTAAAGTGGGCAAGTCTACTATTTTTGCAGGCAGGGCATTCCACGCCCTTACTACTCTCTGAGTAAAGAACCTACCTCTGACATCTGTCCTATATTTATCACCCCTCAATTTAAAGCTATGTCCCCTCGTGCTAGCCATCACCATCCGAGGAAAAAGGCTCCCACTGTCCACCCTATCTAATCCTCTGATCATCTTGTATGTCTCTATCAAGTCACCTCTTAACCTTCTTCTCTCTAACGAAAACAGCCTCAAGTCCCTCAGCCTTTCCTCATAAGACCTTCCCTCCATACCAGGCAACATCCTGGTAAATCTCCTCTGCACCCTTTCCAATGCTTCCACATCCTTCCTATAATGCGGTGACCAGAACTGTACGCAATACTCCAAGTGCGGCCGCACCAGAGTTTTGTACAGCTGCAACATGACCTCATGGCTCCGAAACTCAATCCCTCTACCAATAAAACCTAACATACTGTATGCCTTCTTAACAACGCTATCAACCTGGGTGGCAACTTTCAGTGATCTATGCACATGGACACCGAGATCTTTCTGCTCATCCACACTACCAAGAATCTTACCATTAGCCCAGTACTCTGTATTCCTGTTACTCCTTCCAAAGTGAATCACCTCACACTTTTCTGCATTAAACTCCATTTGCCACCTCTCAGCCCAGCTCTGAAGCTTATCTATGTCCCTCTGTAACCTGCAACATCCTTCCGCACTATCCACAACTCCACCGACTTTGGTGTCATCCGCAAATTTACTAACCCATCCTTCTACGCCCTCATCCAGGTCATTTATAAAAAATGACAAACAGCAGTGGCCCCAAAACAGATCCTTGAGGTACACCACTAGTAACTGAACTCCAGGATAAACATTTCCCATCAACCACCACCCTCTGTCTTCTTACAGCTAGCCAATTTCTGATCCAAACCGCTAAATCACCCTCAATCCCATGCCTCCGTATTTTCTGCAATAGCCTACCATGGGGAACCTTATCAAACGCTTTACTGAAATCCAAATACACCACATCAACCGCTTTACCCTCATCCACCTGTTTGGTCACCTTCTCAAAGAACTCAATAAGGTTTGTGAGGCACGACCTACCCTTCACAAAACCGTGTTGACTATCCCTAACCAAATTATTCCTTTCTAGATGATTATAAATCCTATCTCTTATAATCCTTTCCAACACTTTACCCACAACCGAAGTAAGGCTCACTGGTCTATAATTACCAGGGTTGTCTCTACTCCCCTTCTTGAACAAGGGGACAACATTTGCTCGTCTCCAGTCTTCTGGCACTATTCCTGAAGACAATGACGACATAAAGATCAAAGCCAAAGGCTCTGCAATCTCCTCTCTAGCTTCCCAGAGAATCCTAGGATAAATCCCATCCGGCCCAGGGGACTTATCTATTTTCACACCTTCCAGAATTGCTAACACCTCCTCCTTATGAACCTCAATCCCGTCTAGTCTAATAGACTGTATCTCAGTATTCTCCTCGACTACACGGTCTTTTTCCTGTGTGAATACTGACGAAAAATATTCATTTAGCACCTCTCCTATCTCTTCGGACTCCACGCACAACTT